TTTAGAAAGCAGGATAATGTGTAGGGAGGGGAGTTGAGTTGTTCCCTTTCTTTTGGCTTGTTATCTAAAGTTACTCGAGTTTGAAGTGTGGCAAAAATTTTTATTTTCATGAATTAGACTAAAAGTTACCACTTGAAAAATTCAAAGTGAGAATTGGTGTGTAGTTTGGGAACTAAATTAACAATTTTATTTATTTGATAAATTAATTCATTTGACAAACAGTTAAGTTCTTTGAAAGGTTTCACATGAGTTTACTTGAACTGTTTGACTTGGTCAACTAGTAGATTTACTTTGAATTTTTATACATTGTACATCAAATGAGATAGAAAAGATAAAAGTTGTGTTTATTCTAATCAAGAACATAACTATATGTGCTTGGAATTTGCATGGTCTTTGAAGGAGACAGATACACTTAGCAAATTGCAGCACATTCTTTCACTCAATAACTATTTAATGAGAGCCTGTTATGTACATGGGAATGTATGTTCCAGGCAGAAGGAACAGTAGCTGCAAAGGCCCTGTGGGAAAACCACACACGATGTGCTTTAGGAATTGGAGGATTCAGTGTGGGGTGTTAATTTTGGATATGTAAACTTTGAGAAGCCTCTTAGACCATCTAAATCTGGTAGACAGTTAGATACGTAAGTCTAGAGTTTAGGGAGAGTCCTGGAACCAGAGATAAAAATTTGGGAATTGCTAGCATATAGTTGGTATGTTAAGCTGTGAGACCACCAAAAAAATACACGTAGGTAGAGAATATTTTAAGAGAGGAGAAATAAGGAGGAACCAGAAAATGCAACAGAGAAAGCGCAGGACAGAAGTAAGGGGGAAAAGATCAGGAGAGTATGGTGTCCTGGAAACTGCGGGAAGGGTGTTCTTCATGGAGGACAGGAGATGTAGCTGCTCAGGGGCTGCTAGCTGGTCAAGTGAACTAGGTAGGACCTGACCATGGGGTTTCAGTGTGAAGGTCATTGGTGACTCCAACAGGAGCTTTCTCAGGGGAGTGGTAGAGGCAAATACCTGATTAGAGATAGTTCAAGACAAGGGGAGGAGAGGATTCGGAGACATCAAATACATAATGACTCTTTCAAGGCATTTTGTTTGAAAGTGGTAAGGAATGAACTGGAAGCTGGAGGGGGGTGAGTGGTTGATTCTGCTTAATCTGGATTGGTTTTTAAGTTGCAGGAGCTAATAGCAGNTTTTTTTGACACCTGACAGTTTGTTAGGGGGTGTTAAAATAATTAAGGGAACCCCACTCAGATCTAAGAACCAGAGGACCTAAGTATCAGTAGCAGTGAGGGTGATTGTCTTAATTGTTCCTCCCCACATGTTTGTATTTCTTTTAATTATTGCTCAAATGTACACAGTGTCTAAATATAGTAGTTCTGAATCTGAAAATATCTTGTTTAGTTTAAAAAGCAAAATTTTTTACTCAAATACACCCCATATGATAGGTTTCCAGTGAAAAACTAGTTTGGTGTTAAACTCCAGATTACTTATTAAAATGTGTGTGTGTGTGTGTGTGTGTGTTTTAAAGATTTTATTGGGGAATTAGGGAAGGGGAACAGCCCAGCCGAGTTGTTGTCTTTCAATCTTAGTTGTGGAGAGCGCAGCTAGCTCAGCTCCAAGTCCAGTCACCATCTGGCTGCCTATCGGCAGCTCGCCGCCACTCAGCTCAAGGTGCTGTGTTCAATCTTAGTTGTAGATGGGTGTAGCCACCATTCCATGTGGGAGTCGAACTGGAAACCTTATTGTTAGGAGCACGTGCTCTCACCAGCTGAGTCATCCTGCCACCTGTTGGCAGCTCAACTCAGGCGCAGCTCATTGGCCCATGTGGGAATCCAACCGGCAACCCTGTTGCTCACAGCTCGCGCTATTAACCAAATGAGCCACTCAGCTGGCCCCTAAAATGTTTTCTTATATACACATAACATACACATATGCATATTGTTGGGTTTTCTTTGTTTTGAAGATAAAAGCTAGAATTTTATCATTCTTTTCTGTATATGCCTCTGGCATAAATAGCTACATACTCAGAAAAATTATAGCTCTTTGTTGTTGTTGCTGTAAATAGAATGCCTAAGATAATAAATGAACAATGTTAGTTCTGAATTTTAAAAAAATAGCATTTGAAGTGTTCCAGTGGTCTCTTTGATTTTTCATGGGTTAACACTGTTTGCTTATGCTNTTTTAGTTGAACTATATGAAGAAGAAAATCCAGACACATACGTATGTAGTAGTTGTAAAAGAGAAGAGTATTTTACTAGCCTTTTTAGATGATTGTGGTCATTTTTTTTTAATACTATAACAAAATAAGTGAAAGTTTCTTAAAGGTCAGTTGCACTGTGGAATCTGACAACGTATTAATAAACATTTTGTACTCCTGTTACGTTAACATCCGTTGGTCTGTTCTTGCCTTTTACTCTTGCATGATTTTCTACCATCATTGGGAAAATATTGATTCACTGAGTTACAAAGATCTTCCAAATGTTGACATATTTCCTCACAGAGTATTTAAAGAATCAAACTTGTTACTATTATCACTCATTAGAAAAATCTTTAAGTTCTGGGAAGCTGTCAAGCTCACATTGGTAGATACAAGTTTTCCAAAATTCTAGTTGTTGTTAAACTTGAATTTTATCACAAATGTTTTCTTTATAGTGAGAGATTCACTTTGTTTGTTTCTAAGAAAATGTCTGCCAGATACCCAAGTCTCATAACCATAGTTTTTCTCTCAATTTTTCAAGTAAAAAAATGGAGCTCTGTGAAGAAAGCTACTGGTTCAGCTCAAAACTCAGCCGCACAAGTGCTTTTTCCTTGAGACATGCTTCAGTATGTGGTGCAATTGCTTGAAGCATACACCCTAGTTAGTAATGCAGAATAGTAAACAGATATGTATTCAGATCACAATTTAATGAAATTAATAATTTTTATTGCTTCATCAGAACAAATTCTCTTGAGAGAATTTGTCTTCTTTTTTGTTTTTGGCTGTGAGTATGTGACAGTTAAGAATACAGGGACTACTAGTTTGGAGCTTGATTTGAGCTAAGGCACCAGCAGTTTAGCCACCATTGTTTCCACACTATCAGTGCAAATGTCACCACAGTGAAAGGCAGATAACACCTTATTATGAAAACTGTTTGACCTTCTGCATCTCAAAGAGTCCACAGACCACACTTTGAAAATTGCTGATTAGTATATAATAGTATTATAAGACTATTTGTAAGATTATAAACATAGTAACAAGGAGAGGAATGTATTGTGAGCTTGAGTCATCTGTTACTCAGCAAGGTGTGTGTTGCTCACCATCTAGACCAGCGGTTCTCAACCTTCCTAATGCCACGACCCCTTAATACAGTTCCTCATGTTGTGGTGACCCCCAACCATAAAATTATNCTCCAACAGGAGCTTTCTCAGGGGAGTGGTAGAGGCAAATACCTGATTAGAGATAGTTCAAGACAAGGGGAGGAGAGGATTCGGAGACATCAAATACATAATGACTCTTTCAAGGCATTTTGTTTGAAAGTGGTAAGGAATGAACTGGAAGCTGGAGGGGGGTGAGTGGTTGATTCTGCTTAATCTGGATTGGTTTTTAAGTTGCAGGAGCTAATAGCAGATTTGAATACTGAGTGGAATGTTCTGGTAGAGAGGGAATAATTGGTGTAAGAGTAAGAGGAGAGGTTTGCAGGAGTGAGTCCTCATGTGTATGTGAGGGAGACAGCTATTGCCCAGGTGCAAGTGTGGGTGGTGAATAGGCATGTGGACTGTTCACCTGCAGTAACAGGAGGGAAGGGAGAAGACATGGGGCCAGGTGTTGATAAACAGATGTATGGTGGGCAAGAAGCTCATTTGATTATTTGTTTTCCTCAGAGAAATAGGTAGCACAGTCCCTGAGATGCATGAGCTTGGAAGAGCTGGCATCAGAAGTTTGAGGAGAAAGGAGAAATGAAATAGTTAACTTAGGACAGTAGGCTAGTGGATAGACAAGGGAAGGTGGGTATGATTGTTAAACATCATTAATAGCCTCTTTGAGGTTGGTGGTCATAATTAAAGTGAGACCAGTCAGCATGGCTATGTTTTTCTTCAGCCATTTTCAACTGCCCAGATGCAAGAATGAGAAAAGGCAGAAAGTTAAATTTAACCAGGGTTGGAGCTCTGCCAGTCAAGTGTGACATGCAAGAGAGGGTACAAGAGAGGAGGTGCTTAAAACGAAGGACTATGGAATTGAAACTGGATAAGAAAGAAGTGAAGGCATAGTGGTAGTGAAGTGGGCTCAGGTTTGTTGGAGTTAGAGAAGGTAGAGGAGGGGTTGGTGGCTGGTGGTGGGATGCTTGAAATTTCCGTGGGTCAGGGAAGTTGTGATTGGTCATGACAAGAGCTAGAGTGTAACCATGGGAGTGGCTGAAGCAAAGTAGACAAATCATGAAAACCCAAAGAATGTGTTAATAGAGTAAATAAACCAGGAGCTAAAATCTTCAAGGGATGGGGCTAGTGACCCAAGGAGCAGTGGACAATTACTAGGAGGGATAATCGAGGGAACAATCTGAGGATTTTTAGAGAGGAGAGAAAAAGAGTAGTCTGGGAATGTTAAGGAGGTGCAGGGTCTGCCTCCCCCATCACATTGCTTCTGAGGCAGTGGCCTCAGGGAGAACCAGGTTCCCATTAGAGCAAGAAGGAAATGAACATTAGGGAAAGACTTCAGGAGTTGGGGAAAGGTAGGAGAAGAGGACAGAGCGGGGAGTGTTGAGTTCCATATGGGGGTTACCTAGGAATCTGGGGCTTTTCATAAGTGACATAAACAGGTAAAGGACATAGTGCAGTTGTCTTGGAAGGCTAAAGACAGTGGTGACAAGAGAGTTAAGTGTCGAGACGGTGGGCCCCGCTTTTCTCCTACAGATAGAGGCCTGGGGAGGGGCTGGTTTCCCTGCACGTGTTTGGAGTAAGTGCTTGCTATCTTAGATATCTTTTAAACTTTGTCCTATTAATTTTTAAATTTACAGATCATTAGTGATCATCAGCACTTTAGATGGGCGAATTGCTGCCTTGGATCCTGAGAATCATGGTAAAAAGCAATGGGATTTGGACATGGCATCCGGCTCCTTGGTTTCATCCAGCCTTAGCAAACCAGAGGTAAGAGTTTTCTGTTACATGTTGATTGGAAAACTAGTTATAATGAGCAATTACTGATATTAATAGTATGTATTTGCTTATAGAGCTGGGGCTCAGGGCCCCATTGCCTAGGTGTGAGGCCTGTCTGCCTCTTACAAACTATGTCCCCTTGGGGCAGTTACTTGTACTTAACTTTTCTGTTCCTCTGTTTTCCTCCTGAATGAGGTAGTAATATCACCTACTTCTTACCACCATTTTAGGCATTAAATTAGTTAATCATATTAATGAGTAAGAATACTATCTGCTATATCAATATAGCTCATTCATTATCTTAGCTATAACATGGTCATCATTTGTTATTATCACATAGTCCCTAAATAATAAAAGGATATTGCCTACCTTGATGAGGTTAGGGGAGTGAGTAAACTCATCGTTAGTCGGGACTCTGATAGATGAAGTCTCATTCCTTTTCTGGAGCTTTATTCTCTTGTTTGAATCATTTAAAATAAGCCCCTCTTTTGAGTTGTCACTGTGGACATGGAAGCAGTCACCTCTGTTTTCTAGAATACCCTCAGCCTTCTACCTTATCAAGTTGTTCCTGAGGGGTACTCCCAAGGGTACTCTTTTTTTTCTGTCATCATCAGCCCTTTTCTTTCAAAAAGGTCCTTAGCTGGTATCAAGTTTGAAAAAGACAAAACCTAGCATGAGGGGCTTGAATGACCTGATTAGTGGTGATCGAATTTTCTGATGGGAAAGCTGCTACTAACTAACCCACCTGCTCTCCAGTAAACCTAGTCTGCAGCATCCAGGCAGATACTGAGGGAGAGAGCCTACGGCCCCACCTCCACATTTGCTGTGTGCTAAGGTCTGATTAGACCGGCCTGCTATTCTTCAGACAGTATACTGAAAACATCTGTTGATAGCGTACTCCAGTTGTGTTGTCAATTGTTAATACAAATAGCAATTTGATTATAAACTACATTAAAAATTTTGAATCAGGTATAATATTCAAATGATCACTAAAGTTAAACATTCATTTATTTGTGTTCTGCTGGGATTATGCTTGGGTGTGCACGTTTTGCTTTATTTTTAAACTAGACATAAAAGACGATCAGCAAAATCAGAAGATTGTAAGCTGTTTACATCGGAGGTAATATTACAGTGTGTTGTAATGGTGCAAAGCATGTGTGTGTTTGCAAACTAAAATATACACACACACAAAAGATAAATTGCATGGTATGCAGTAGACTGCAAATAGTCGTAATAACCTGAGTGCTGATGATTGTGTTTAAATTATAAGCAGCTAGTCGTACTTGAAGTTTTCTTACATATAACAGTTATATTAGCTGGGGGTTTTTAATTAATTTTTTAAAAATTTAAGTATAGTTGGTATACATTATGAGTTTCGGGTGTACAATATAGTGACTCGACACTTTCATACCTTACAATGTGATCAGCCTTCTGATTCTAGTAATCATCTGTCACCATGCAAACTTATCACAATATTATTGACTATATTCTGCTTCACCTTTTTTACCCATCCCTTACCCCCTCTCCTCTGGTAACCATTCTTTAATCTTTGTTTCTATGAGTCTGTTTTTATTGTGTTGTGTTGGCTTGGTTTTTTTTTTTTTTAGATTCCACATATAAGTGAAACCACATGGTATTTGTTTTTCTCTGTCTGACTTATTTCACTTTGTTTAATATCCTGTAGGTCCATCCATGTCACAAATGGCAAGATGTCATCCTTTTTTGTTGCTGAGTAATATTCCATGGTATATATGCACCACCTCTTTATCCATTCATCTATCCATGGACACCTGGGTTGCCTCCATTTCTTAGCTATTGTAAATAATGCCACAGTGAACATAAGGGTGCATTTTTTTTTTAATTAGTGTTTTCGTTTTCTTTGGATAAATACCCAGAAGTCAAATTGCTGGATCATATGGTAGTTCTATTTTTAGTTTTTTGAAGAATCTCCACACTGTCTTTCATAGTGGCTGCACCAGTTTGCAGTCCCACCAACAGAGCACATCCTCCACACCCTTTCTCCACATCCTCACCAACACGTTACTTGTTGAGTTTTTTATAATAGCCATTCTGACTGGTGTGAGATGATATTTCATTGTGGTTTTGACTTGAATTTCCCTCATGATTAGTGATGTTGAGCATTTTTTCGTATGTCTGTTGGCCATCTGTATATCTTCTTTAGAGAAATGTCTCTTCATGTCCTCTGTCCATTTTTCGATTTATTTTTTTGTTATTGAGTCGTATGAGTTCCTTATATATTTTGGGTATCAACACATTATCAGATGTATTATTTACAAATATCGTCTCCTATTCAGTAGGATGTCTTTTTGTTTTGTTGAGGTTTTCTTTACTGTGCGGAAGACTTAGTTAGATGAAGCCCTACTTGTTTATTTTTGCTTTTGTTTCACTTGCTCAAGGCAACATATCCATATACTTAGAC